ATGTACACTTTTTATTTTAATACATTTTAATGAATGAAACGTTTCAAGCTTAGTAATAATGTTGTTACATGTGAAATAGTATTAATACTAAGAAAACATTTTTTTAACGATTAAAACATCCCATTAAATTATAATAAAATATAATTTATTTGTTAATTTTAATCTGTCTTTTCTACCAAACTATTTCATGTTTTCTTGTATATATAAAATATTCATTAAATTTAAAAATAAAATTTAAAATACATTTATTCTTTTTCTACTCTAAATAATAATTCATTAGTATTTTTTAATAAAAATTAAAATATATATCACGCCGCTATGCCACAAAATTTTTACATCGGCGGTGGTGTATTGAGCGTCATGTCACTTTTTTTTTACCGACGACATCAGTTTAATTAGTAATTACCGGCGGCAGCAGATTTGAGTGGGGGTGCATAATAAATAATATCTCGCCAAAGTATACAATATACCATAAATAGTTCTTTGTAATTTACCGTAAAAGCACTAATATAATTTTAAAATTCTCGAATTCTTTTTAGAATTAATTGATAATTATAGATATGATTATTTTTTTACTTAACTATATGGTGAGCATAAGGATTAAACCTGGAGTTTCAAGCCTACCGCGTCGAGAAAAAATAGTACTATTTATAAATTAATGTTTTAATTCAGGAAGGTTTTACAAAAAGCCAACAACATCTGACTGAGCCATTTAGCCACGATTATCTAGGTCCGAGCGCATCCTTCACTATGGCAGAAAGGATCGTGAGCATGAAAAAACAACTCGAAATTAAACAAAAAATTATCGACGACATGGAGAAAAGGATGAACATAACGAAATCTATGATCGCCGATTCACTGCAAAATAAAGACAATGAGGTTCTCACTTTATTTCATAATAATTTTAAAAACAAATCAAAATATAATTAACGACAGGTTCTAAATATGGAAGATAGATTGAGTAGAGTATTGTACGAAAATGAAATAATGCATCATCAGAGTAAGAGGCATAGTGACGCTGCTAACTTTGTATCCCGGAAATTGGCAATCAAAGATGACGAATTGCTGGAGACGAAGGAGAGAGAAAAGTTTGTGTGTAAAACATTGAATGTGAATTCCTGGGAAGATTTAATCAACAAATACCAAGGATGCATAGTAAAAAATGAGGATCTAGAAGGTAAGGTGAAAAAATTGGGGGATTTGTTAGAAGATTCAGAGGATGAATATGAGATGTAAAAAAAATTCGAATTAATTTTTTTTAATATTTATTAATTTTAAAACCTATCTATCGACTATTGTTACATTACATAAAACGTCGTTGGAAAATAGCGATGTTGTTAAAGCTACTTTTTAGAATTAGTTCTCTGCTACAACTATACAACTAATTTTCCCCAAAATTACTTTCTCAAAAAATACCGCGCTATAGCTATTAAATGTTAAATGTAAAGTAGCTATTTAAAATTGTATCTAAATGATTTTTCTTAAGTATGGGTGAATAAATAAAATATTTCCACCCCAATTATATATATTTTTAAAATCATAAACTAAATTTTCATTCAAACTTGAAATATATAATAGCACATAAAAAATATTTTTATAATGAATTATTAGTTAAATAATTTAATTAGTATATTATGTATTTGCTACTAAAAGAAGATGTCTCTTAAAGCTTTTATCTAGCAAAGAACATATTTTTTTTATAAACATTCTTTGTCAGACTAAATAATATCTCTTCTGTAGAACTGTATGGGATAGGAGTATTATATTTATAAAATTTGGTTTTAAAAGAGGATTGTGAGATCCTATATGAATTATCTCAAAAAATTTGTTTGATAATCAATATATCATAACTTTTATCATCCTCATCGGAAATATCGTCAAAAAATTTATTCCTTAAGAAAGGGCAAGCGGCAATTAAATTTTCATAATTATATATATATCTTAAAATCGAAAACTTCAGAGCATTGTTAATTAATCTTACCTTTTTAAGGACTTCTAAACGAGGTTAGCAGTATTCTTTAGCATACATTCTTTCAAGTTTTAAGGATAGCTGAGATATATTGTGGCATGAAAAAATCTTGGTACATGTAGATTTCCTCATGGAGAATATCGAGAGCATTGGCTAAAGGTTTCATAGCCTATAAAAATGTTAGCGAATGTAGAATTTGCATGTAACTAACAGAGCTTCAGTATCTAGATTTCCTTTACCTTTAATCGTAAAATAGTCTGATGTTAAAATCAAATTTAAATATTTCTGGAGCCTATTAAATTTTGTTTTGCCTTTTCCTATCAAAAATATCAAAATTAAATCTATATATTTATGAATATGAAAAATATGCCATCTTCTAAAATTAGAATGAAAGAAGTGAAAAGATTGTTTGATAAAGTTCAATTTTTTTAAATATATCTAACTTATTTATTTATAAATAATAAAATAATTAAAACTAGTTATATTCATCTGTTTAAAATATTAATTATAGTTAAAAGTAGCCAAATAAGTATCTGTTTAGAAAATAATCAAGCTAGTTAAATTCATCAAAATTATTACAATTTTGGTTATGAAGAAATTAACATACATAATCACCAGTGTAGAGTCAAACCTCGAAAAATGAACCTATATAATTAATATTTTTTAATGAACCTTTAACCGAACATTTTAAAAATTAAAAAGAGTCATTCTGGCCTTAATAAATCGGTTCTTAAAGTTTATAAATTCTAAATAAAAAATTTAAAGGTCTTTTTTATTAATTAAGTAAGTATTTAATTATAAAAAATAAATGGTATGACTTTGTATCCTATCTTATATCTTTAGTATGCCGCATTTTTTTATTTTTTTAGAGTATCGAATGTATAGGTTCAGTTAAGGTTCCAGAAAGATAGCTTCTTTTATAAAAATATACCTGAAACGAACCTTTATAAAATTTTTATACATCCTGAATTGAACCTAAACCTTTATAATTCTTTCCTTCTGAACCTTAACCCAGCCTATATATCAAAAGGTTCGATACTAATAATCACAATGCAAAAATACGCAAAAACTTTTTAGAATGTTTGTATAAAAAAATATAGATTGCGTTTTAAAAGCGTGAAGAAAGAAAACACAAACTCTAAAATAAAAGAGGCAATATATATAATTCATCCATTTTTAGAAATCTAATATCAAATTCATTTAAGCAAAATAATAATTAACTTACTATCAATGAACCCTGTTATTAAAATATTATAATTATTTTTTATATTATGGAGACTTTCGTGTTGCATGTAACAAATCATATAGAATTCATTATTAAATTATCGTTAGAATTATGTTAGAAATACGGAAACGATTCGAGAATCTGGTGGAAGATCGTAAATCTTTATTAGAGGATTACAAAAAATTATTAGATTATATAAAGGGAACAGAAAATGCGGATGTTACGATCAAATGTAAAGCGGATCAAAATTATGAATTTTGGAACGTAGAAGCCGGAAAATTACTCATGTCCGTCCATAAGCGGAAAGAGAATGGATGCGAACATGGTTCAATATATATAATATATATTCAATCCAAAACATTAATTTTTTTATTTTATCTAATCTTTGTGATATATTTATTTTAAAGGCACAGATGAAAGAGAAGATATTTCAAATGATTCAATACCTTTTGAATTAATAAGTTCGGTCGAAATGAATAACATTGTAAGTGATGGAACTGAATCGGAATATTAGGCGGATTTATAAAAATAAAAAATTTTGTATATATTTAATGAATAGTTTATTAATGCTTATCAATATAATGTTATTGGTCAAAGAATTTGTTTTAAATAAATTTATAATGTTGTTTTTTTTAAACCCTCGAGTTTAGAGATATTAAAAAGATGGCAAGAAATGGTTGCATGTCGCTAAAATTTAATATCGTGCTCAAATAAAACTTAGGCGCAGCACTGAGCACGCTTTTGCCGCTCTGTGACGGCGTCATAGAGGGAAAGCGAACATCGTAAAGCAGGAAGTATAAATTCTAGCTTAAAGCAAAGGAACTTGCACTTACATTTTTTTAAACATATTTCGATCATATTTTTCTTATGCGTTAATAATACTAGGTTCGTCTCGTCCTTTTTAAAATGGGATTCGTGAATAGCAGAGTAGAATATAAATAATTTATGCGACATACATAATAAGGTAATTTTTATGTAATATGCATATATGTCGTATTGGGTTTGGTTCGTAGGGGTTCGGATTTTTCGATTTTAAATAATTTATTGAGAGCAATTTTTAAATTGAACCCTTGGATTTGATCGGAAATGTATTGTGTATTTCATCACGTGGAGAGCATACACACATTAAGACAATTTTGCCGTAAACTATTGCATATTTTTTTTATTTATATAAAAAATCTATAGAAAAATAAAAGTAGCTTAAAAGTTCATAGCAAAATTATCTGATATTCGGTGTGGGTACTTCTGCACATACTGGGACACATTTCCGGGCAAATCCAATTTGCCCACTGTGAATGATTTAAAATTGAGAGATTTAAAATCCCAATAAATTCCATTTCTTAATACGACACTTTCTTTAAAATTACAATTCACAAATATAGGTAAAAATATAAAAGGTAATGTTGTTAAAAGGCTCGATTTGAGCCGATTTAAAAACGGCAATAATTTAGCCAGAAAATTATTGCATAAGCCTAGAGATTTCCCTAACAGATGTCCAAACCTTTAAGCCATCTACGTACAAAATTTTTAAGTTTGAGTAATATTTTTCAGGATAAATAAAAGGTGTAAAACGCAAAAAAAAACAATTTAATAGAATTTTTGTTAGGCAAAGGTGTGAGGGACATAAATTGCAGCAGGTCCCCAAATGCCCCCCCCCCTATAGTTACGGCTCTGGCACATGAGGTCGATCATTTCTTTAAAAATAATATTTTATTTCATTTTCGTTTACCATTATTCGTTACTTTTTAAAGGTAAAATATATGTATTGATATGTAAAAATAAAGATATTTCTTATAAATAAATAAAATAATAATAACAGTATAACCCGCGTATATTACGTTTCGAGGGATCAGACATTTTAAACGTTAAAAAGGGGAGCAGGAAACGTTAATAAAACCGAGTAAAATTGTAAAATTATATTTATAGGACCCCTCGAAATGCTAACATGTTTGCTTATAAATAATATAAAAATTATAATTTTTCTTTTGACAAGAGAAATGGAATGAAATGGTATATATTTAGCGTTATTAAAAAAATGGAAACACACGTTATATCAAGTAGGTTATTTTTTTCTTCTTCAAGAGATTCTGTCGAACGAAGTGTTTAATATGTATAAATAATTCTGAAATGTAATATTATATTTTGTATAATTTGGTTTCACACAATTATTTTAAGGAAGGGAACAAAATAAATTTTTAAATCAAATTAGTTAATTATATTTAATAATCATCATATGTATAAACCCGTGTTATAAATTACTGTTTAAAAGTCAGAATAATAATTTAACGAAAATATAAATGGTAAAAAAAAATGATGTATATCATTAAAAAAATAATGCACATTCGCGATAATTAAAGGCCAGGATTGAAAGATTTTGAATACAGTTTTATTATCCTTTCTTAAAAAGTCGTTAATGAAAATACAATTTAACATTGATTTTTTATAATTAATAGAGTAGATATATTCCATAAATTTTTAAGTAGAAATCATAAATCATGTTTTAGGGAATCTACTAGCCACGTGTCCAAGGGTAAACTCTTCGATTTCTTCGCTCTCAGCTCCCCCATCTATATCGACGGGCAGGGTTAAGGTTCCGTTAGAATTATCAAATTGAAAATTTTGGGGAACTTTTCCGACCGATACATTTTTACCTATATCGCTGAAGGTGAAATCCAAGTTTTGTAAAGGTTGGCGATGTAGTGGTTGCTTGAAAATAATATCGGACTTAAAATAATATGATAAAAATATTAAATTGAGATAAAGTCCTGTGCTGACCGATCCAAGTGCAATTCGACTAAATCCGGGTATGCCGGACTCGGACAGCATTTCCTAAATTTATTCTTTTGTTTTCCTAATGTTTTTATTAATATTATTATCAAGAATAAGACAAAATTGTTTATTATCCTCCAACACTTATAATTTATCATATATTTTTTAACAATCTAATATAAAATAATTCGAATTGACCTATTTCAAAATATTTTGGATCGGATCTATAGGACAATTTTTTAAATTTTATCTCTCAGATCGGACCTGAAAAAATAGTTCTTATGCAGAAGATTAAATAAACTGATGTTTTTTTAAAAATGTATAATTAAAAGTAATCGAAAATCGATGAGAATAACAAATACAAATAATTTGGAGTTTTTGTTTTGAATTCTCAAATTTTTGAATAATTTTTTTAAAAAATTAGCTTTTTGTTATTTTTTCCAGCCCTACATATGTGTAAGTCACTGATCTTTACAATATCTTATGTATAATCACCCCGTCATAACTTTTATCTTTTATATAACGGGATATTTTAAACCTAAAAGTCAATGTCTTTTATTTCAGAGGTGGGACATTTTCTTGTAATATAAATATAAATATTGACCAACCATAAATTTGAAAAACCAAAATAAATAATAAAAAAGCACTTATAATAAATACCTTTTCATCTAAATCATGATGCCCGTTTAATTTGGAATGTTCATCAATAATTTCGTTCGCTTCAATATTTCCAGACAAAATACCATTTTTTACATCATTGACTAGTAGTACTCTGTCATCAATTTTATTACGATTGATTCCCCGTGCTATCATGGCTTTTCGATTATTTTTGCCTTTATTACCGGTCACATTAAAATAATCTTTCAAATCCAATACGTCATCTTCCCCATCCTCGGTGTCCTTAATTTGATTTAGAGTCGAAGTTATAGGTCTCTTTTGCCTCGCATTTTCGATCTTCCCGTCAAACCTTTCTTCCTTTCCAATTTTAAAATCTTTGGGAGTAGTTAAGGGCAAGGTATCCCTATCGCTTTCGCTCGTTTCTTCGGAATCGTAATAATATTTAGAGGATCCGAACCTGCCGGATTTATTGTTTTTGAGGGGTTTGAAGAGAACAGAACTTTTCTTATGGCCACCGTTAAATCCGGTACTCGAGTTTAAACTCCCGCCTTTAGAATCTAAACTGAAATATGAGTTACGAGGAACTTTGGAATACGCGTTATTAGGTGCTAACTTTCCCCACAATCTGCTAACAAAGTTGATTCCACCAAACCTGCCAGAGGGTTTCGAACTTTTCTCATAATAATTGTCAAAGTCCAGGTTTTCGTTATTAAAATCTTCATCGTATTGATAAAGGCGATTAACTTTAAGTTTACGGGATGAAGTAGAGGAGGAGAAAGGATGAGAGGAACCAGCATCGTTGAATGGCGTGAAGTTGAGCGTTTTGGATTTCCGGTTAGCTGTGAATAAATTATAGAATTTTAGGCCTGACCACATTTTAAAAACTCGGGCAAGACATAGGCCTTGAAAATAAATGGAATATAAAGCAAGAGTTAGAAAGAATTTTGCTTGATAGATAAAAAAAAATTCAAAAAATTTGGAAATTTTTACTCCTTATTTATATAAATTTTTATATATTAAAGAAACAAAAGTTCATGAAGAAAATTGCTTGAAATAATTAAAAAATGATTTTAGCAAATAATTTAAAATTGAGGAATTCCGAATAACATGACATATATATTACCCCGCTTCGTTGATATTTGTCCACTCTTATTTTTTAGCCTAATATAATTTTTAATTTTTTAAAAAAAATAGCAATATATAATAAACAAAATTCAACATAAATTATTTTATTTGATAGCCTTTATAACTATGGCTTATATTTGTAGCATTGAATTAATATTCTGGCACATATTCTGGGACATCGATTTCCATATAAGCCCCAATTTATTCTTCATAGGATCTTTGCTCTAGATCGTTGCCTTCTCTCTGAGCACACCCATAATGCTTTATATGGAGATGGTGGCCAATAAAATATTGATATTAGAATTGTTTAGGTAGGTTTTTATCAGAGACCTGCAGGCCCGGCCCTAAGCCCGGGTACCAGGGCCGGGCCGTATTTTAAATTTTTAAAGTATACCCGGGCCGGGCCTGAAATTTTTTTTAAAAATACACAGGCCGGACCGGGCCCTATTTTTTAAAAAAAATTATACAAAGTGAATTATTATATTCGTCAATTAGATATGGTTATAATGATTATATATAGTTATGATTAATATAATGTTTGGTGAAAGTTAACACTAGCTAACACTCATAGTATCTATTACATAATAAAATTGTAGTTTTCCTGCCATGGAATAAATACGCAAAGGATTAAATAATATATAATATATGTTATATTTTTTATTAATTAAATTATCATTTTTATAAATACATAGTATATTCTCAAAATATTATTTACACAATTTTTTTATAATGTCAATTTGTAATATACTAAATATCAGTTTAGAATAAAATAAAATATGATTGTTAAACGGCTCGTTTTGAGCCGATTTTTAAAAATGGCTAACTCAGTTTTTTATCCAGAAAAATATTATGCAAGCCTGAAAATTTTGCTCATAGAAGGAGCAAAGGTCTAGACATAAAGTATCAATATTTCGAGGCTTAGTCAATATTTTTCTGGCGAAAATATTGAGTTAGCCGTTTTTAAAAATCGGCTCAAAACGAGCCGTTTAACAACATTAGCTAATATACTTGCTTATTAAATGATAATACACGCCAAAAAATATAGTAAAATACAAAATAATCAATTTTTTGTATATACCAGGTCGAATATAATTTTAAAAAATTCCGAGCCGGGCATAAAAATTTTTTTAAAAAATCCAGGCAGGGCCCCCCCCCCCTTTCAAATTTTTTTTTAAATATCCGGGCCGTAAAAATTTTTTCTGAAAAAAAAAACTTTTTAATCTGGGCCGGGCCGTACATATGGTACCTCTGCAGGTCTCTGGTTTTTATGTTCTTCGCGGCATGACAAATCTTGTAATTTGCTGATGAATATCTTGATATTTAATAACAGCTTTATTATATTATTTATAAAAAAAATACATCCTGTCACTTTTACGTTCACGTACTCACATACCATTATACTATCTGGAAATAATCTCTATTTGTAAGAAATTAGTATGTAGCTCAGTGTTTGTATTACTACCATATTTCATATTGATCCAAAATTTATATCAAATTTTGATTCGTTTTTGAATTTCGTGTTCCCAGTGCTTTTTTTGTTTAATTTAATCTTTTTCTTTTCGTAATGTTAAAAATATATTTTTCAAATCAAACTCCGAATTTCAGCAAGAGCTATCTATATTTTAGATTTTAATATGATTACATTGATATTGTTAAAACTTTTATTTGGCAATAGTATATGACACAACTCTACTTTTAAATATATTTCTCTAACAATTTTCATCACATAGATTAAAGATTAATTTTTATCTATCAACATTATGTGCATTTGCTTATATTCTCTCTTAAAAAGGCCTTAATATTTAGAAGTATCTTTAGCTTATTAAAGTTTTTTTGCATTCTTTAACATTTGTATTAGTTTTGATATGAAATAAATCATTTAACAATTTTTTTTTTAAAATTGGACTGGACCTAATTTTAAATTGACGGTTCTTGCTTAGAAAAAAATCGGGCGGACATGTCACCTAGAAAATTTTTTTTAGATTGGGCCAGAACGAGAACAGATCCGATGTAAGGCTAGTCATATCTCTAATCGTACATTGACTTATGACAATTGAGTGTGTATGTTTCTGACAGAATTCCCTCCCTTAGATTAATATAATATTTGTTGTCTCTTATATAGATTTAAAGAAAATGAAGGTTGAAAAGATTATAAATTGATTCAAAAATATAATATTTTTATAAAAAAAATAGAATAAATAAATTAAGCTGGGAAAATTATGTGGTGATCATAGCTTGATGAGCGAATATTGGATCTTTTTGTAAAAATTTTACAACAAATTCTTTTTCTTCTTTTTTTTGTCCTATTTTTCTCAAACTGTAAAAAATAAATTACTCAAATGTAATAAAATTTCGTTTAACGTATCTATAATCTTTTATAAATGGCAGCCCTTCTTTTGTTACTAGCATATAGTATAAGTTTTGGATAACTGTAATTTTTTTAAAAAGTATTTGTAAGAAATTCTTGCAATTAAAAATGTTATTTCTTTCACCTTTATTGCATATTGTAAATTATAAAAACCTATTTTTAGAATTATTTTCTTAAAAATATCTTTGACTCCAGTCCGGAAATTCATAGATTTTTCTTCTTGCCTTTAATTAAAACCAGTAGCTGATTAGAATTTTTTTTAGGAAAACCACGAGTTTTTAATATATTTTTAAGTTTTGAAAAGTGCGTAAAGAGAAACGCGGAAAGAAAATGAAATATTTATTAAAAATATAATTTCCTAGTAGAAGATTAAGAGATTATAAAAAAAGCTTTACCAAACTTATAATACTAAAAATCTCAAGTAAGTTGATTAAAGTGATGAGACATAACATCCTGAAAAACAGATCAAAGATTTTAGAAATTACAAATTATCTATCCTTGATATTAAAGCTTTGAGTATTTGTGCATTTATTAATGAGGCAAGTATTATCAACTCCAAATTTAATATGCATAAGATGATAATTTGAAAAAAACTTATATCTTGTTTTTAATTTAGTTAATCTAAAAGAAGAAGAAATAAGATATATTATAAGTATTTAAATTTATATTAATATTAATAAATATTTTAATTTTTTTTAAAGAGATTAATAAAACCAATCAAGAAGTGATCTGGTATCAATGAAGCGAGGTATTATATATAACTATTTCTAATCTAACTCTTATTCGAAAACTTAGTTTTTTTAAATAAAATATGTTACATTTAGATATATATTTTTTTTAACTACCTTGTTTTCTCATAACGCAAACTATCACCATGGTAAGTGTTATAGGCACACACAAAATGGCGATTATAAGGAGAGTAGAAAAATTGAAGGCTCTTTTTATACCTTGGACCAATCTATCTCCGGTCTTAACTATCGTAACATCCTCATTAGATCCATTAATATTATTAAGATTTTTTGCGCCAGATTCGTCTTGTTTCAGCAATAAATTTTTGTCCGATGGCGATATATTATCATAAAGATTGGGGTACATTTTACCTAAGGAGTCTGAAACATCGGAAAACTCGTTATCGTAAGGTTCTGGTGGGTTATAATCTTTTTGTTTAAACGAAGGAGGAAATAGAGGAGGCAAGGAGGGAACACCGGATTTTTTAACGGAAGGTCTTTTAGAGGTAGAGAAATAGATGGGTGGAATAATATGTGTGGCGGAGGGAATCGAAGTCACTTTCGATGAAAATTATATGTTCGCAAATTAAAATAAAAATTAAAAAAATAAAAACGATTGAATAATTAAATTTCATATAATACAATGAAATCATTTGCCATAAGTACTCTCAACTACAGAAGGTCACAGTTCGGTATTTAGTCGGGTTGGACCTATATGTTCGGATCGAACCGTGGTCTTTAAAGAGAGAGATCCAGATCGTTGTGCTAAATAAAAAGACCGGTTCAACTGGTCTTTTTATATTTTTGTTATTCTGAAAATATTTTGGTTTTTACCTAATTTAATTCTTGATTATTAGGACTATAAGTAAAATGCTTCTTTGACAGCCATATGGTTTTCATATTGCCAAATAAAAATGAACTAAAAATTCATACAAACTAGAATAACTCCTTTAGAAAAATAATAAAAATTATATTAATTGAATAGTAAAGCAAACTTAAATATTAATAAAAAACCGGCCCAGATGGTGGTCCTCAAAAAGGACGCGACCGGTCGTTGATCTTCACTATCCTGAATCTGGGTATCATCCAAGAATGGTATTTCTATTGGTCATAATCAATGGACGTTAGCATTGGATGCGATAGCAACAATGTAACGATATTATAATAAAATTAAATTAATCTCATTTTACGTGAAAGAGAATATTTCCATAATTTTTTCTCTCCGCCCTCGATGTTCTCTATGTATATATCCAGGAAATCGTTATCAACTGATAATTCAGCCGTCATATCATGGGGTTGAGTTAGTTTAAATTCTGAATTGGCCTTTTTTTAAAATTAAAGTAAAGTATAATGTTAAAATCCACTAAACGGCTTGACAGGACCTTATTTTAAAACTAGATGGTGCTTGGGAATGTATTAAAGGAGTTTTTTATCATTGTTTTAAAAAACGTCCTAGTTGGAAGTCGACTTAAACCCGCGTGTATGTTTCTCGAGATTTAAATTTTTTAAAAACGGAAGGCAGGTCAAAACCAATGCTCTATTTATATCGATTTAAAATCAAATACTTGTCCTAGATCTCGGATAAAAATAAAATAATAAAACAAGGTAGAAAATTTTTACTTGATTCAATTGAATTATAGACAACGGTCTAACTATACTATTGACTAAAGGATTTCCCGGGGCTGAGTTGTACACCGAAATCGGGTAAATTAGCACAGCGGGCGCCAGCGGAGAAGATTCAAATGGGTTTAGAAATGTAGTTCTCAATACGAGCAAAAGCCCTTTTATTCCTAAATATTAACAATTTCATTAATTACAAAGATTTTTTCCTTAGAATCACATTTGTGGAAAGGAGAAGGTTAGAAGGAAACAACCATTTATTTTACTATATTTAAAAAATTCATATCGATAATTTATTGGTGCTAACTGATGTTTAAAAATTCAAACTTCCCGTTATTATTCCCAAATTTAAACATTTATATTTTAAAAATTATAATTAACCCTCTTTTTGAGTTTAAAAAAAGGCATAATATAATGATATTGAGCTTTTATTATTATTTATATAAATATATTCAAGATTGTACAATCACATTCTAATGATGTGGTGCTTGGTGTGCAAAATACATATCTTAAATAGTAATAAAAATATTATTTATTGTTAAGACATGTTTTTATTTTTTTACATTATAATATATAAAAATTTTGATGGATATATTTTATATTAAAACGCAGGATTTAAAATAAAATATTACAATAATTTAGTTTTAAATGCGGGTGTGTACTAAAAAATATTTTAATACATTTAAAACAAAATCAAATGTAATTCTTTTTTTTAATTAAATGGTTTATTAACAGATACTAAACGCTGTCAAAATGATGGCACTTAGTATAATTTACCTAATTTGGGCTCCTGATAAATGGAATTTAAAGCTAATTGGAGAAACATTTTTGGAACTAAAATAATCCTTATTTATTACTGTAAATTTCCTATTTATAAAGGTGCTCGAATTAAGTTGCCAATGAATAAAAAAATTAAACGATAATATGCTTTAACCTGAGTCTATATATTTATCGGCCATAGAATTGTTCAAGGGTAAATATTTGAGGGAATATATCCTACCCCTTTCCGAGGTTGGAACGACTAATGAAGGGCATTTGAAGTTTACATTTGTTTCATCGTTATTAGTGGAATCCTCTACATTTCCTGAAAGTACCAAACATATAACGCGACCATTTTCTCGATCGGCAACGAATAAAAGTTGATAGGCTTTGTCCGTATCTCTGTGGTATATGAATATTATCACCGTAGGTGTAAATCATAATTCGCAATGCCTTTTAGCCGCATTCATAGAGGTATACAACACGATTTAATAGCGGGTCGATTTTGTAAATCCGTTTATAACAATTATTAAATTAATAATTTTTTAAATTATCATGAATAGAATTAAATATTAATAAAGAAAAATTGATCCCAATCGATCTGCTATCAAATCGTGTAGGATCGGATCCCACTATAAATGCGGTGTTTTGCATAAAAAAGATAATATCCCATTCAATTAACACATCATATAGTTAAAAAATATTACTTTATTTTTTATTTTTTAAAGAACTTACCTTTTCAAACTAACTTATATACATGAAATAATGTATTATATCTAGATCTGTGCGCCCCCGGCTCACGCCGGCATTTTTATTCACGCCGGAAAAGCCGCCGATTTTTATTATGGTGGCGGCGCGGCGTGTGTAATTTTTAGAAAGCATATTAATTATATTTATATATTAAATTATTATTATTTTAATTTGAACACTAAGATTAATAAAATTAAAATATGAATTGTATTCTATTGCTATATATAATAGACTAGTGTATATCATTTATATTCATTCATACATCATATTTTATTTCCACAAACAAATCATATTAATTATTTTATGGACTTGAACGTTTTAAACCACCCTATATAAAATTATGAAATAACAACTCTCTCTACTAATCTTAAATCAAGTTATGCCTGGAGGTACTTTGGAAATCTTATTTTGAAGAATGAAAATAAGAAAAGCACAATAATGCCTGATTATATTTATTGTGAACCTTGCTTAAAATTGGCGAATAAAGATTAGGAAGATTCGAATAAACATAATTCATTTTCACACTAATTTATTTTTATTTTAGACTTATATTTATATATATTTTATATTTTAGTTATGAAATAAAATGTTTTAGTAAAAATATAAGTACAAGTAATCTATCTCGGCACTAATTAATTATCACAAACTAACAGAAAAAATGAATAATAATAAATCCATTCAAAGTCTAAAAATGTTTTTAAAGCCAACATCAAGATGCAGCAACAATATAAAAGATAAAAAATGGCTCATAGGTTAGTATTATTATTTATTTAAAATTTTTAACTGGTTTGTAATATTAATTTTATTATTTATTTTGAAAGTTCAAAACAACTAAATTTTTAGTTTATTTATTGCCAGCTCTATTTTGAGATCTTTTAATGTATAAACCTAATATATAATTTATTAAATTAATTATGTTTCATTTCAACTCTAAATATTATATTTTTTAAATGTCTTTTTAATGTATAAACTTAATATAATTTATTAAATTAGTTATGTAAAACTTTATTTTGAAAGTTAAAACTAAATCAAATTTATAATTTGTTTCATTCCAGCTCTAATTATTTTGATGTTTTTTAAATATCCTTTTAATGTTTAAAATAAATATGAAATCTAATAGGGTAAAATTATGTTTTGATGTGCTGCTTAGATTTAATGCCATTTGATTCTATAAACAATAAAGAAATGACAGATTTTCTAAAGGTCTAAAATTTATATAAAATTCCTATAAAATAGAAATATAAGATAATTGATTCCTCGTCAGAATTACCAAATAGGACAACCATTAGTTGGGGTGCACGAGACGATATTTATTTATCTATAAAGGCGCATGTTGTAAATCTGATTGATTCTGGACCAAAATTTTGGTTCTATCATTTTTGATTTATGGACCTATCATTTCAAGTGTCAAAATTATATCACATTATGTCTTCATCATTTAGATGAAAATTTTGATTTAAAATATTTTACCCTAGCAACTAGAAATGTGACTCAAAAGCATACTGGGTGATATCTGAGATTGATAGTATTGAAGAGGAGTTCCATTTAAAAGCCAAAATAATACAAATGGTAACTGATACTGGGGCCAATGTCAAAAGAAGCGTCAGATTAGGGGATTATGAGCATCATTTATGCTTAGGGCATGGACTTCATAATTTGGTTACAGTTGATGGCATAAAAAAAGTTACCAAAATTGATATTCTCATTAAAAAAATTAGAGAAATTATTTCAGCCCTCAGATATCGTGTAGCTGATTTGGAATGTGAAATTGAGGCTGAACATCGTAAATGTCTGCAGTCAATTTATGAGACAGGTAATATCTTGGATATTGATGATTCTGATCCATACTTTGATGACCATTTTGATATGTCTGATGAATCGGATAATAAATATGGCATTGCACCAACCAATCTAATTAATGCAAAAACTTTAAAATCAAATTGCCCTACCCGCTGGCATAGCATATTAATTATGCTAGAAAGTGTTAGCAGTGTAAACAAAATTCCTATAAATAATGTTCTAAATAAAATAGGAAAACAATTTTTAAAACTCTTTAATAATGAATGGGATATGATTGATGAGCTTTACGCAGTATTGAATCCATTCCGAGAGTCGGTGGAATTTCTTTCCTCCCAAAAAGGATCGACAATAAACTTAGGGTTATTATTTCACAGTGAAATAGAAGCTCATATACATATATTATATGCTTAGAAGAAAATATGAAAAAAAAGCTTGACCATAGGTTTCCCATTACTGAACTTCAAGTTATTTTATATTTTTATTAATAAAATTATATTTTAAACATTAGATATTAGCAACTCTAATTGATCCCAGATTTCAAAATCTCAAAGTTGTTTCAGAATATTTAAATTCGAATTCTACGACATCATTACAATTTTTAATTCAACATTTAAAACTTTTAGAGCATGATAGAAATGCACAAAGTGAAATTCAAGTTGAGGATAATGGTCAAACATCAAGCTCTTATATAGCTAAATTAGCTCGTAAACATTTCCTTCCAAGTAACGATTATAACAATATTAGTAATCTAGAACAAGAATGCCATATTTTGCTCAGCCAAAATAATATCCCAGAAGAGGATGCATTAATCTTTTGGAAGAAAAAGCGACTGGAACTTCCTATGCTTGCTAATTTAGCTAGAAAGGTTCTTTGTATACCTGGAACCAGTACACCGAGCGAAAGAATTTTTTCCATTGCTGGATTAATACTCAATGCTAAAAGGACATCTTTATGTCCCACAAATCTTGATAAAATACTGTTTATTATAATTTTGCTAAATCTGAATTCTGATTTATTATATTTCATACTTTATATTTTGCTTGCATTCCAAATTTATTTTAATTATAATAAAAATCAATAGAATATTTCTTATATGTGTTGTTGATGTGACTCTGATCTGAGTAAAAATACAATTCCTTAGTTTATTTCTGAGAATGAGAAAATACATAAATTTAAATTCGAGTGAGACAGGAAATTATTTATGATCAATTAAACTATGTTAACAATGTATTAGAAAAGATCGTCCAAATAAATTATAAAAAATGTAATAAATTAATTTATAAATTAAATTTATTAAAAAATAAATTGATTTATAAATAAAATTCATTAAAAATATTTTAAAATAAATCGCCGCCGAACGCCGATAAAAAAATTTAAAAAAACCACCGCCGTTGATTAAGACATCGGCGCAAAGGTCATATTATATCTAATATTTATATTTACTTATTAATATTAAATTTTATATAATATAATTTATATTGATAAAAATGTATAATCCCCCTTCCCCCCCCCCCCCAAAAAAAAATTTAATTAATTAAAAAAGGAAAAAGAAGTAAAGATGCGGATTTATAAACTAGCTTTATTAGATAATGCAGGAACTGTAGTTGGCTTCTTTTGAAAAAGAAGTGTAACAACTCTGGCAAATGTCACGAAAGAAATAATTTCTAACCAAAATTTATTATATAAATTTCAGGATTCAAAACCTTCGACTGCGTATCGTAATTTTATCGGGTTCTATATGGGCAAGAGCTAATGAATGTGGAACCTTCATATAATCCCTAGTTGGAATGGCTAAAATTTTTTTAAAAAGAACATCTTTAATTGATAAAATATTTCAAAATAAGCAATGTTAATTTGTATAATATATTTATTTTAATCGATTGAATATCATTAAGCTTAAAATTTTATAGAAAAAAATGATCTTGTTCAATTTTAATATATAAATCAGAGATCTGCAGCCCCGAACGCCCGGGTACACGGACCGGGTCGTATTTTAATTTTTTAAATATAACTGAGCCGGGACTAAAAAAACATTTTTTAAATACCCGGTTCGGGTCGTATATTTTGAAACCAAATATTTTAAATTGCCATTATTAGCTATAAAAATTAAAAATATATATTATATATTTTTAAAAACGGGCAGGGCCTGAAATTTTTTTTAAAAAAATCTGCGTAGAGCTAAATATAAAACCCAGATTTGGCTGAAAAAAAACCCTAGCGATATATTAAAATGGTATAAAATGAAACAATTTGTCTAGTCACAATAAAATTATAATTTATTTTATGAGATCCAGCACACCCTATGCTTATAAGTGTTATAATGATGGATCGGGGAGGGGAGAATCATGTATGGCATTTTACGATATAACCCGCTTTTAAGTCACTGCTTTAATATTTATCGCTTTTCGCCTTTTTTTCCGGGCCCCAGAATTCTTATAATATACAAAGTGTATCATTTTTCTATGCTAAATTTATAGTCCAATAAGAACATTGTAAGCGATTTATAATTGTGTATATAAATTGTGAAATTTTTTATGCTAACATTGGTAAAGATTGGTGGGTTGACCATATTGGATGATGAATTTCCCATCGGAAGAAAATTTAATAATCCGAGAATTGCAATATCTATAACAACATTTCGATTAAAAAACATAACATATATATTTTAAATATAAATCATCATATATGGTTTTTCCAATTAAATTATTTCAACTTATTTTATTTTTCCATTTAAAAAAAATATGTAATTTTTGTAATCAATTTCAAGTTATAAAAAAAATCGCGTTCAAATTTTAAAGTTTTTTTTGGATGGTAATTAGTTAACATTAGTTTAAAAAATAACTATTTTAAAAACATGATAATATTTTTAAAAAATTCCAAAATAATATAATTTCAACTCAACTATTAAATATTCGATTCATCTAAAATGCAATTTGAAGTTGCATATTATTCTTTAAAATTTCTCTTCATTGACTTTACAAACCTGACCCGACATAAATTTGAAAAATATATTATATAAACCCAGGCTTTTTAGTATAAAAAATAACTATACTACTAAATAATATTTAATATATATATCATTAAAAAAAATAACCCATCAGCAACAAAGAATTCCCCGTTAGGTAATATGGCTATATCAGTCGGTTTACAAAAGTGAGTTGCGTCGTGCCCAGGTTGGAAGGGTATCCCAAGCTCCAAAAGCTTTTTGGGGGATGGTAATCCTTTCTTGAGTGGTGAAAATTTGAAGACCTAATTATTATGTTATAAATTGGTATTTATGAGTGATTGTTTAATGACTATTTACCATTCAGCGGTAAGTTTGGGGGAAAAAAATAACGTGTGGCATAGTGGGGTTGATAAAACCTTTGTTTTTAAATATTTTAGATCACACACAAATATTTACATTAAGCTTGGATATTTTTTAACACTTATTAAAAGTTAACCTTAAATTATTTTTACAAATATCAATTTTGAAGAGTTAATCATAAATAAAAATATTATAATCAGGGTTTGGTATTAAATATGGTCAAAATCAATAAATGTTTTTTAAAATTAGAATTCACTTTATTTGATTATATATTTTTAATAGAAAACACAAAATTTATTAATAAATATCGAATGTATATAATTATATCTTAATTCAATAAAGAAGTAATTCATTCTCGCCTTCTGATCCAGTAGAGAATTATCATCACAATCTACATTTTTAATTAAACATAAATTATGATATATTAAATAATTTCCCATTAGTCGAAGTATTTTTTATTACAGTTTTTTGTTTGAATATTACCCCAAACCGACCAATTTCCCTCTGAAGTAGTTGAACTAGGAAGTAGAGAAGGAGAATATAATATTATGCAGCTTCCCTTGGACGGAATGGTGAGCAAGTCCAATCTTAAAGCCGAAATCTGATTAATGCTTATAAATTCGACAGAATTTTATATCGACTAAAATTTTATGAGCATCACCACCTTAAATTCCTAGTTCCTTTATAATTTAGAGATGGTTAATAACTCTAGAATGTAATTTTTTATAATTAGTATATTAAATAATTATTTAAATTGCATTTTTAGCTCAGCACAAAAAATTTGGATTGCATCTTCTTCTACTCCGTTTAATGGCGATTTTCAGGTTGCCAGTTTCCAAACTGATTTTCCTTCTCCATTTCTGATGATCCTGAGCAACAATATTTGTAAAATTCATTTTTATCATATCCGTCGCTATCACTTTTATCCAAGTCATTTTAGGCCTTTCTCGAGGTCTTGATCCTCCTACTTCCATCGAGGTGCATCTCTTTACCCAGTCGTCATTCCTTCCACATGCCCAAATCATCTCAGTCTATTTCTTCTGATTACCATTCCAATCACTTTTATTTTCATCCTTACTCGGAATTCCTTACTAGTTTTTCACTATATAATGCTCCTAATCTCCGTTCTTACCAATTTAGCTTCGTGAGCCATTTTCATTGTCCGTGTCTTAGCTATAAACTATACAACTCCTCACACACTACGTAAAATTATCCTTCAGAGAGATGTTTTTATTTGCTAGAATAGATCTCTGAACTCTTCCATGCTTATCTGACCCTTATAACAATAGAAGAATTTATAAATCTACATGTCACCCAAATAACAAAACTTTTCTACTTTTCCTAGGATTGACCCATTGTCAATATACAAACCATCATTTTCTACGTTATCCTTATAATGTACCCATTTCACGCATGTTTTACAAATAAGTCATGCTTGCTATCATAAAGCTTTTTTTACCCCACTATCTCTTTTATGCACCCATTTCTTGCATCTGGTACATTGCATAGCCATCTTCCATCCAATAATTTTATCCCTCAATTCTTCCTCGCTTGCCACGAATATTCATCTGCAAATAGTAGCTCCCATGAAAGTCAATCACGCATCTCTCTAGCCACTACATCCATCACTAAGAAAAATAATAATGAACTCAGAACGGATCCCTGGTGAAGTCCTACCTTCACTTCAAAGCTTTCGCTATTTCCATCATCTATCCGTACCGCCGTTTTAGCTCATACATACATTTCCATCACTTCTTTAACCAGCCATTCATACACACTTGATTTTCTCAATTCCCACCTAGTAACCTCACGCGGTACTCTGTTAATCGCTTTCTCAACAAGTGCATAATATAGTTTCTTTTTTTGCAAGATTTCTCCTGTATTTGTCTCACCACAAAAATTGCATCTGTTGTGTATTCCCCGGTGTTTAATCAAACTGCATTCATCAGTTTCCGCTTATTCCTTTAGGATCTTCTCAAATACCTTCATAGTATGTTCCAAGAGTTTAATGGCTCTATAAGACCCGCAATCTAAAGGATCACTTTTCTCTTTGTATACTGGAATAATAAAACTGCTTCGCCAATCCTAAGGAATAGTTCCTTGTATGACAATTAGGTTAAATAAATTAGTAAGCCGTTCAATCCTATGGGGGAATATGGACTGTGCCCAGCCCTGCTTGGTTGTAATCATTAGAGATTTTGGAATAGTGTTTTTTTTACTATCGAATGCCCTTCTTGAGATCAAAGGTTACTTTAACATTCTATCGAGGAGACGGTGATCATATTCGAAACCCAAACCATGGGGAACCTCCTATAGTTTGTTTGAATTACAGAATCAAATGCTCTCTTGGAATCTAACACAGTAATGAACAGCTCTCTTACATATTAAAGCTCTTTCCGTTAAAATTTTTAGGGTAATAATTGCTTAAACGCCTTTGTGGCCTTTCCTGAACGATGAGACAGTCTTTATGGTTTCAATATAAGGTCTTAAACAGTCAATAATTACACGTGCGTAAATAATTTATAAAGCTGCAAAATTTAAGGATATACCTCTCGAACCTACATGCTTTTAGTTATTAGTCATAGGAAAATTATATTGTGCTAATAAATTTAGACTAAATCTTTCAGACCATATTTTAATCATAAAAGGAAGCTACGCTCGACGAAGGATCAGCCTTTAAATTCAATAACATCCATGCTGGCGGCTTTGTGACATTTCAGTTATTAAATGAATTAATTCGCGTATGTTAGCATGTAAAGTTATGCTCTTATAAATACCATATACGTGGTGAGAGCTATCATAACTAGTTTTAACTCTTTGGTAATAATGTGAACTTCCAGTTAAATTAATCACAATTCTTCTGGAAACTGAAAATGGTCTCATTAAATTAGATCCTTTTAAGACAATAAATTCAGTCAATTTAGAACCCTACTTCCGCATTGATATTGCGTGCATTTAAGAAACGCATTAAAAAGAATTTTTTAAAAAAATGTCATGACTACTATATTAGTTAGAATTCTGGAGAAGTGTATAAGAATTGGAATGGAGTGTGTCTAATAATCAAGAATGTACTCACAAATTTATTAACTTATTTCAAAGCTTTTATAAGTAGAATTTGCAGCATGAAATTAAAATCTAAATGTAAAATCTTAAATATCATAAATGTGTACCCACCAGAATTATTTAAAAAGAGTTTTATCCAATCTTATTTGATTACATAGACAAAATTCTGAGTGAGGGGCTATTAATGACAGTTTATTCAAATGTCAAAGTAGGTTTTTTACGATTTACAGAAAAATTGCCCTAGAATTGCTGCTTTAAACATAAATCTAGACTCTAAAGAAAACTTTTAATGAATCTATGCCAAGTTCTTGATCTATGTATATTAGTAACACTTTTTTCGATCATTCTCGCAATAGAGATTATAGCCACTATAACTCATCTAACAATTCATGGTCACAAATTGACTATTTTGCCTACCCTAAGGTGGTTGGAAATTATTAAGGTCCTTAATGAAGTTGCCTTTAACTCGGATCACAAAATTATGCTATCTAAACATAAATCCTAAGATGTGGTACAAAAGGAAAAAGAATAATGGTAATAAGAAAAGGTGAAAATAATTAAATATAATTTGGAATTTCTAAATGATCTCAACATAGGTAACAGCTTCTACCATTTCAAAGAACCCAGCTCTCGCTTCCACGATTTATTTTTTATAAGAAGCGAATTCCCGCTCTATTTATAAAAAAGAGCAGACTTCATATCCACTACTTTGATTTTAGTTTTTATAATATAGAGTACACAAAATAAAATCTTATTTTTTTATCTAAATATTCTAATCGAAGAAAATGATGTTTCAAAAAATTTTTAACTTTTTTTCCATTTGCTTATAAAAGTAGCAAATTTCCTAAATTTCAATATGATAAATAGCTATTACTCTCATCTAAATCCTGAGCAATACTTAACAAGCGCTTGATCAGGTAAACAGAATCACATTTTACATATATATATATATATATGTACTATGCACTATGTACATGAAACTTGGATGCATATGAAATTCCCTTTTCTTCAAAATTTTTCAAGCCTGGATCTGTACCAAACCCGGCAAAATTTTTATCTACCCCAAAATCCTTGATAATATGTCATAATCATGTTTGTTTTAACGATTTGATTTGGGTTCCAGAAATATAAACGATGCCATGTTTTCTTTTACCGTTTTGAACTTATCTCTTGAGAAATGCTTAAAGGCATTTCAATTAAGGTACTCAGCCCCAACCTCTAAATTATTTAACAAGATATAATTTTTTTAAAGTTCATCATTCGCAAATTAAATAAATTCGAACCAATGAAAAAACCCTTTAAATGTTTATATTTTTATATTGAGCCATGATATTTTAAACACTTATTAAGCTAACCTTAAATTAATTATACAAATTAAAATTTACTAAATAAAAAATTTATGAGAATTTTTGAAAATAGTTTCAAAAATAATACAAAACTACCTTAAATAGTATATTTCATAATTTTACTATAAATATCCATTTAAAATATATAATAATCAAAAAATTTTTATTAATTAATATTTCTATTTTCAAATAATAATATTTCTTTTAAATTATAAGAGTTAAAATGTGCATTTTGCCTCCAAAAAATGCTTATATTTTAAAAATGATTCAATAAAATATATGAAACTTTGCAGACATAGTTTAGCATAAAATAGGATGCTATTGAAGTAACCAGGTCAAAATATAGACAGGTTTTTTTTGTAGTAACAATTTAAAAATCTCTTGGGGTGTTAATATGCCGGGGTATACAGTCAAGGGTTCAAATACAGTCAGTCAAATAGTTAATAACGCAAATATTATTTAGATTCTATTGTCATTCATTATAGAATGGTCAGAAAGAATAAAAAAGAAAAAATAACTAAAATTTTGATTTATTAGGTATATAATAATTACTCGCTTATCGCGTATCTCAATGGACATAAAACTTAAAACGTTAAAATTAATAGCAGGCAAAGTATTTAAGTAAACCAAAAGAATATATATAAATAACTTGATGTAAGGCAACATCTGTGACCCATATATTCCCTTGCGAGTCCAAAGTGAGTCCGTGTGGCATATAAAACATGTTGCTTCCCCATTTGTCGATTATTATTCCGGATTTTGAATGAATCGTAAAGAGTGTTTCACTTTTGATTATTCCCGTTTCGCGAAATAAGTAGTTCTCTTTAAAATCGAAAGTGCTGTATAATTATAATAATAAGGTTGATATTTTTATTTGAAAAAAAAGTCGAATTAAGAGTGAATCTGAATCAGATGGTAAGAATTTTTAAAAATATGAATTAGTTTGTGTTTCAAGTGTTATGAATATTAACAACCTCCATAGACGTTAATACAAACATGAAACTTCAAACATATTGGTATGTAAGTGCAATGTAAAATTCAATCGAGTTAATTATTATTTTGTAAATTTATTACAATAGACATGCAATGTTTGCAAATGCTGTAAAAATATATACCAAAAAAGTTTCTTTCGTCTTTCACATAAAATTATAATCTCTGTAGCATTGATTTCAAAAAAAAATGTTAGTAAAGTCATTTAAGGTTATCTATTTGTAAGCATAAATTACGCTGCAGATTTACTTTATGTCCCACTGATTCGGTCCTCTGTGAAAAACATAGATAAGAGACTGAAAAGACGAATTAGTGCCATCTACTGGAATTATTTCTATATCCAAACCCCCAATTTGCCCAATTTGGTCCTCTAATTTGGGTGAAGGCCATTCTTCCAATTTTAAATATTCTAATTTTTTTATAGATATAAAATAAATATTTTTTAGAATATTATTAAATAGAAGTACAATATATTTCCAAAAACTTTAAAAATTTTAAACCATGCTAGCTATTTTAACTGTTTTTGGACATTTTCGATATAAAATATAAGTGATGCAATATATAATCAGGCACGTAATTATTTACTTATCAGATAGTCGATTTGTAATTCAAATGCAGGCTAGTAGGCATATAATAAAACAACATAAACAGAACATATATACATACTTTTTTTATAATGTAAATTCTTAAACACATGCTCAATTTTATAATATATAAATAACGATCCAGCAATAATAAACAATAGCACATTGTATTAGTAAATTATAGTATAAAACGGTTGTCTATTTTTTTTTATCTACGTGAGAATATTCATATTATATCTTCTACTTTACCCTGATGCGACAAAAATTGGTCACGTTCTGATATGGGTATGTGAGATTCATCATTTATATCCTTTTGAGGTAGCAAGATATTTGAGAATTCTGTATTTCTAATAATATTTCTGTCATTCCCAAGATTACTCGTTCCTTCCAAATTTTGTAAATTTTTTAGGAAATTTAATCTATATATAACATCATTCTGCTTAGATTTCCTTGACGGTCGTTCAGTAGGATCCAAATAGTCGTAATAAAAATATTTCGGCTTATTAGAGTTATTCGAAACATACTTTCCGGGTTCTGGGTTGTCCGGATACGATTCCGAATCGTAACTTCGTTTGCCCATAACTTTGAATCTATGCATAGATTCAAAAGGCAGCGGCGGTACAAAGTGGTGATAATAATTTAGCAATTTAAAGTAAATGAGTAAATTGTTATCATAATAATGCAGCCGGTTTCTGTACAATTTAGGGTTACCATGTGAATCTCGAGAAAGCATAATATTTTCGTGCAATAATCTGGCAATATCGTATTTCAATAACAATCGCTCTTTTAAACTAAGCCTTATCTCGTAGTTCATTACTGGATATAACAATTCTGATTTTTTTACAAAAATTTTTTTGATAGGAAGACAAAAAAGTTATAAAATTATTGGTAAAGAAAAATGATCTCTTTTCTTTCTTTCTATCTTTAATGGGGAAAAAAATTATTATGAAAATATGAAAATTCTTTCATTTTAAAAAAATTATTAGTAAAGAAAAATGATCTCTTTTTTTTTCTCTTTCCTCGTAATGGGGGAAAAAATTAATATGAAAATATTATAAATCTTTCATTTTAAAGATTTTATTACTTAGTAAAATAGTAAAATAAGTATATATTTATATATATATAATAGAAATTACTGTTTGGCCAATCATCTTTCTGAAAAATCTTTCCCCCTAGGGGAAATTTTTTTGATTTTATGGGAATAATTTGTGGTTTGGTATTATCGCCAAGGATTAAATCAGAGAAGAAGGAAGCGTTATAATTCAAAATATTAGGCACTGGTATATTCTTGTCCTCTTTTTTTTTAAATGGAAATAAATATTATAAATCACATAAAATAAATTAAACTATAAAAAGAAGAAGGATTATAACTATCTTAAAATAACTAGGAGGGCATGGCATAGCCTTCTCAAAAAAATAATATGCTAATTTCAAACTCATTAATAATTAGCAAATCTTATAGTTTAGACATATAAAAACGGTTATTAAGATTTTTAAAAAAACCTCTGATTATTATAAATGTATTTTTAAGTCTACTATTTATTATTAAATCAAATAATTTTTTAACAACGAAAAATTTAAGGAAAATAATACAATATTCCAAATTTTTCAGCTACAAGTGAGCATGCGAGTTTTTGATGGGAAACCTATACAATGAATTTCATGAACGCCTTATTGATGACCTAGTCGACAAATAACTCCAAATATAGGGATCAAACCGAACCTAATCCGTTAAAACAGTAAAGGTCATTCAATCAAGAAAATATGATTTTAGGACAACTAATTTCAATTTTCACTAAGTTTAGTTTGCAGACAAAGGTTTGTTTGGTCTATATTTATACGAAATTTCAGTCTCCTAGTTATACTTTTGGTGATATGTGGTTTGCAAGGAAATGCTTTTTTTAAGCAAGACAGGCATAAATAGTGTCGAAGGCAAGTGACTAAGTTTTTGAGCTGAAATGGTGTTATTTAGATTTATTGAACGTTAATGGCGTTCTTACTTTAAATAATGTTTCATATCTCTTGTAATTTTTAATTAATGTTAATAAAACGAACATTTTTGAATAGATTATTAGAACATATAAACATGTTTTAAATATTAAATTAGTTAAAGTATTTTAATGTGATAAATTGTGCTTTCAAAAATTATTTGCGGATTTTAATTTTGGTCAGGCGTTTCAACTATAGGGAAGAATATAATTTAAAAAATGGAATCACTAGGATCATGAGGCCCGTTCATACTAATCGAACTTCCGCTTTTAGAAAAGGAATTCATAAGTTCAGGTGGGTCCGTTTGGAAAGGACATAAATCGAATCGTGCTACGCTTCCGTCCATGCAAATCGAACTGGCTGCTTCGTGGTTACTCGTCATATGCTCGCTATGCGCGTTATCGTAAATTAAAGGTTCTCGTGATTGGGGAAAACCATAATACATCATGTAAAAATTACACATTTCGTCCGAGTGTGAACCGCTTTTTATTTTTTTGTATTTCAGAATACAATTTATTTTGTTGAATATATTAAATAAACTTCATAATATCCACGTAAAGATTAGCTAAAATGAGATAATTTTAGGAAAAAAAGGCGGAGATAATTTCCATTCTAACCCTCTTAAGATTCTTTACGCTTGTTTTCATAAAAAATATTTGAGTATACTAATCTATCCTCAACTAAAACAGTTGAACCAAGAGAAGGGTTTTTTTTTAAATTTAAAATAAAGAATTGCCTACCTAAACCATCCGGCTTCCTAGCCCTCAAATTCATGACCATCTCCTTCATATAAATAGTTCATTATCTAACTTGATATTTATGAACAGCAAAAAAAAAGTAGTAATTAAAAACAGTCATTATAAATAAATCCATATAATAGTTACCCCATTTGCACATAGTTCTCTTGGTCCCTTGAATCGTAGGTACATCTAGCCGCCTAATTATTTTTTGATGTAAATATTTATAAAATTTAATATCGAGGTTAAAAAGTTTTTTTAAAAAAAATTATTAAATTTTTAAAAAAATAAACCCATTAATTTATTACTTACTCCTATTATAATGATACTGGAAGAAAACTGAGAATATAATATGACATATTTTTTAAAAGTTATGTAGCCTGATATTTATTTACAAAATTATGATTTACAAATTCAAACCAGGATATCCCCTTTTTTTATGGTAATATCGTGGGTAGTAGGATAAAAGGCTTGAGGCCATTGAGGACTGCCCAATCCTATCTTGGTCCAAGTCATATATTCTTCCTTGTTTTGACCAGAACGTACGTTTAGGATATTGTCGACTTTATTTGCGTTCATCGCGATTTCTTGGCTATTGTTGTGCTTTATAACGTATCCCGAAATAACTCTGCCTTTAATATTATGTATTTGTGTTAAGTAAAAACTTCCTCAGGAATTAGTGAGATAAAAAAAATTAGGAAATCAGGTGCAACTACTCAATCCAGTCAAAGGCTCGGACAGAAACTAATTTAATTATATTTTGAGAACTAATTTTCCCGACAATTTCAGTATAAAATCTAAATTTTCTCGGTGTTTTCAAAACAAAAACTAAATAGAACGGTTAAATACCAAATCCATTATATTAGTTTAATATAAATATATTTATTTTATTACCTAGTGAATGAGCGTGAGTTCTAAAAGCGAATGGATGAATATTAGGTCCTTTATATAGACACGATATATCGACGTGAAATTCTAATTTAAAAAAAATTATCTAAACAACAAAATATTTTTTATATATAAATTTGTAGAATTTGATAGTCCTACAAAGCTTACTTATCATTTATCGCTGTGCCTGAACGGTCGTTTTAATTCTTCGATATATTCGTTTTTCCCAAGTATTATTTAATTCTTATTTTATTATTTTTTCATAGATAAAATGTCACTTATACAGGTTGTTGATTGTGACTGTTACCTGGCAGACCATAATATTACATGGCACATTATCAAAATAATATTTAAAAAAAGGTTATAGAAATCCTATCTTTGACTCAGAAATTTAAAATTAACTCGAAATTACTAGATGACAGAAAATCATCATTAAAATTAATTTTATTGCTTATTTAGTACAGTATAGTCTGCTATATAATTTCTCCAGTAAAAACTTTATAAACGGAAAAGTCATAAGCGGATTATATTGTATAAATAAACTATGATTTACTTATTTCTTTTTTTTTCTCTATCCTTTATTTCTTTTTTTTCTCTATCCTTTATTTCTTTCATACATAAAATACAGTAAACAGCACACAATCTATAGTCTAATCCTACTTTTTAAAGATAATTTGAAATATAATAATATAATGTTGATAAAACACGATATAAACATTTAAAAAAATATCTAAAAAATAAACTTTCGATGCCAGGGGGTATAGGTTGTTTTAGAGCTAGCATCAAATGCATACCAGCCTCGTATTTTGGAGGCGTGGATGAATACCCGATTGTGATAAAAGAATAATCTTTGTGATCTTTGGTTAATATAAAATAGGGAGGGTATATTTTTTTAAAAATTAAATTATGTGGTAAAAGAAATAAATTCGTTTTGGATTAAACATTTTTTGATCTTTAAATTAAAAATTTTATTCTTAAATAGTTTTGAACGACTGGTACTGACTTTCTCTATAAAAAACTTTAAAATTTGTCTCGGTCTCGGAAGCATCAATTCTTGTCTGAGAAAGGGAGAAAAAAAGGAAAAGACAGAAAAGAATTTAACTATAAAATAAACAATAAATAAATTATAAAATAAAACAATTTGATGCCATTATTTAAGAAAACCCGATTTTTTTTAAATTAGTGAATCGTTAAGACTCGACTGCCCTTTATAAAACATAGTATCCTGCTAAAAATAAAATTAACTTAGAACATAACATTATTAAATTTTTTAAAATTATTGTTATTCTATTTCTTTTAACCTATGATTGGGTTCAGGTAATGAATTTGCATAACGAGATAATCGATATCCACTTCTTGACCAATCTTATAACCAACATCTATAGATGAATTCATTATAAAGATTATTTTTTATTCATTTTTAATATAAATTATATTAATATTATGTGGGAAAACTTATTTAAATCCAGGAGATAAAAAAACTCAACCCAACCCAAAATTGAAAAACCCAGCCTTCCTTAACTTATAAAGGTTTATTCGGGAATTTTCGCTGTTAGGAGTGTACCAGTCGCGTAAGTAAAAAATTTGGTCTGGAGAGGGGGGGGGGATAATAAAATTTTTTAAGAAATATTATTGTTTTTTTTATTAGAACTAATAATTATTTCTAATACACAATTTTATATTAATGTGAATTATAAAAAAATTTATGTATAAACCGTCATATAAAAAACTATAAAATAAATGTGAATTAAAAGATATTAAACGGATATAACTGGCGGTATAGAAAAACTATAAAATAAATGTGAATTAAAAGATATTAAACGGATATAACTGGCGGTATAGAAAAACTATAAAATAAATGTGAATTATAAAATATAAAGTGAATATAACCACTATATAATCACTTAAATGACCCAAAATAGAAATTTGAATTTTTTGAGCCTTTAAAATTTATATACATAAAAAATTTAAATGTTGGTGATATAAATTAATACACAAAAAGTTTCTTAGGAATAATTGTATTATTTTGTATGTTATATATTTACATGTAAAATCCAATCTTCGTTGGGATTGAGCTAATTTTTCAATTATCTCATCCTTGCTTGTCGTCAAATGCCTGTGAATATTCAAAAGATCCAAACCTTTCAATCTACTTTCAGAAGTTGTACTTCTTGGTAAGTTTTTCAGGGACCTGCAAAAAACACCCAGGTGAGGCCTGAAAATTTTTTTTAAAAAATATCCAGGCCGGGTTATATATTTTAAAACAGCCTATATTTGAAATCGTTATTATTTGCTATAAAAATCAAAAGGAAATATAATATTTTTAATCCGGGTCGGGCTTGAAAATTTTATTTAAAAAAAAGGCGGGGAAGGCCTGAAATTTTTTTTTAAAAAAACCCGAACCGGGCCGTAAAAAAATTTTAAAAAAAATCCGGGCCGTGCCCTGCAAATAGTACCTCTGCAGGGCTCTGTTATTCTTCTAAATAGAATGTTCTCTCATTAGTTTACTAATGGGAAGAGTTGCTAATATATATATATAAACCCTTTTAAAACATTGAGAATATAATTTAAATGTATTTGAAATGCAAAGCATCCATAGTATTTTTTGGGACTTATCAACCATAGTTAATTTTATAAACATAGTTATTCAGCTAACAAGGCATCATAAGATACTTTAACATCTTCATGATAAAAATCTAACAAATATTTTTTTTATATCACCATCTGAAAAAAGTTGGTAAGTCTTTTGTGGAAGTAACATCTGCAGATTGGTAAGTGCTGCATGATGAATTAAAAATCATTCATTTATTTGAGTTATAAATGTATCTAAGAGAGGAGACATTTGTTTTATAATACTCTTCTACTGATCCTATATAAATGTTTTAACGACGAGATTGCCTTGCTGCAAGTCGAAGGAGACAAATATTAAACACGTATAGCTCTGCTTTTGACTCAACAATAACATAAAATATGAAATTCTTCATCAACATTAGCCCTAATTTCCTTGAGTTCTAATGCTCTTCGCTATTCTCATCTTCTTAATCAAGTCAATGTCATGTTTTTGAAAAGTATTACATATAGTTGTATAATTAAATTTAATACATTCTAATGAGAAAAAAAATTTGGAATAAGTATTGAATCCAATAATTTTCATGCTTCTGAGGAAATATTTCTTTCAGACCATTGTGATATTTCAGTAATAGTAAATAATCGGCTCTTCTAACTCCATAAAAGCTGTTACTGCTTGATGGCGATTTTGGATTTGGGGGGTGGGGGGGTTAGCGCCATTTTATAAGATCGGATAGGAAAATTTCATAATATTGGCCTATGACCGATATTTAAAAAAAGATGAAATATCGGTCTGATCCGATCCGATAAAAAATATTGATACCTAGTTTTTTTTTGTTTAATATCTCAAATATCGACATTTTATTTTTTTTATTTTCAAAAATTTTTTAATTAAAAATAATCAATAAAAAAAAGCCATTAAGTATATTATAATACTCATTTATGGGAAGAAAACTTTATTTTAAATAAAACGATTACTTAATAGAAAATTATAAATATTAAATATAAATTTTACTTATTATTCTCTTTTTTTAAATATAACAATATATTGTATATAATAAAATAAAATACACACGTTATAACGGGCTTATAAGGGTTGTTATTTTTAAAGTTTTCCCGCTTTTATGGCACTTGCGAAATATGCCTACTTTGCTTTATTTTTTTATCTTTACAATTAGATTAATTGATTATGCAACTTTTCTCAATGGAAATGAAATGTGGGTAATGGGAAGCGGCTTTATAACCGGATAAATTTATAAGATTTATGGGAACCGAAATCTAAACGCTAAAGAGGGGAAAGTATCTTCCAAGGGTTATTATATTGTAATCTGCAAATCATTTTAAATTGAAATTGATTGTTATTTTTTAAAATTATTTATTTTTTTAAGGGCAATGATTTTTTTTATATTTGTTTGGTAACTTGGATTGATAAGATACTATTTCCTCATAAAAAAATTAAAATTTATAAAGAATATAATCATAAAAATCCTGTAAACCTTTAGGATAAGAGAATTGTGAGGCGTTTCGTGCCCAAGCGTATATAATCTTTACAGCAGAATCGCCACAAATATTGCCGCATTGCCTTGTTTATGTTTTGAGAGAGAAAAATAAAATACGTTAAATATTGGTTAAAATCAGATTCTGGGAAAAAATTCAAAGATGCTTATTTTTAAAAAAATTCTAGAAATCGGAAAATAATTTAGTGTTTCACTCTTGGTCCGGTGTGAGGTAGTGATATATAGCGCCGGTCAACATATAAAAATTTCTCAACAATGACCAAAAAATTTTTTTTATATATAATATCGTCACCCAAAATTGTTATAGCCTTTTAATTTTACCCTAGCCTCGTTCAAGTTGTTAGTTTAGAAAAAAATTGACTAGCCACAGCCAGGGATCGAAACCAGGTAGTGTTGTGCCTTATTTAGGTATCTAATCTTTTAAACCAAAGCTGACATTCAAAAATTGATAATTATATATATATGGATAATTTACGACGTTATCGAATATAAAACACATAAAATCCAATAACGTCCGAAGCTATGCATCATTACCTCCATAGCTGGGGTTCAAAAGATAACATGTCAATTAGAGTATTTCTTTAAATAAATGGATTTTTTAAAAAATAAATTTATGAATTCCCTATTACCAAGAATAGTAAACATTTTAAAAAAATAGTATTCTCGTGCTATATACTTACACAGTATATACTAGTGATCTGCATCGGGCTTAATTTTTCAAGCCCAGCCGACCCGATTTTTTTTTGGAAAAAATTATCCTGCTCGGCCCGATCCCGAACATATATTTTATTTGTCCCGAAAAATCCGAATAAAAATTATTTATCAGCCCGACCCGGCTCGAATTTATTTAAATATACAAAAATTTAATTTTTTTTAATTTAAAAAAAATATTAGTGCATGACAAAATGTAATATCATATTTAAAAAATTTTAAGTCCGATCCGGCCCGGCCCAAAATTTTTTGAAAAATGTTAGGCCCGACCCAGCCCGAACCTAGATTATTTTTAAAAATTAGGGCTGTGCCGATATTAAATATCGGATCGGCATCGATATTTCGCGTTTCCCAAAAATATCGGATCAGGCTGATACCTGTAAAAAACCGATCCGATCTTTTTGCTTTTGTTATTTTATGTATATTTATTTTACATTAATAATATTTTCTAAATAATTTTTTTTAAACAATGTAAATGCACAACACCCCGTAAATTTTTTTTTTTATAAAAATAGAAAGGAACACAAGTTTTATTTATTTTAAATCTTTTTAAATAATAACGCCAATTTTATTATTTATACTTTAAAGAATTTTTTTTAATATGGTATCTGTATTATGAAAATATTTTATAAAAGATAAAGATAATTTTGCAAAGTGGGTTATCTGAGGGATTCTATTTCATGGGGAGGAATAATAAAAAAATTCATTTAATACTAACAATATCCGTTAAATTTTTTAGTTATTGTAGAAATAAAAAAATTAAAAATGCATAATTCGACTTTTTGCATAAAAAATATTGATTTCTAAATTACATTTAGTTCAAAGAGGGGTGGTGAAAAATCAATATAAATATAGGATCGGTATAGTTATCGGATCGGGTTTGAACCAATATCGAAAAATATCGGATCGGTAAAAATATGTGGATCGGCACAGCCCTATAAAAAATAGACCATGTCCGGCCCGTCAGATCTCTAGTATATACCCTACTTGCTTATAACGTTTAACAAGTTTTTTAGTGAATCTCATAATTATAAATTCTCTCAGGTATGATTTTAAAGTTTTAAATTCAATGTAGAAACGTTATAAAAGAAAAGGATTATCGTTTTGTAATGTTGTTAAACGGGACTCGATTTGAGCTGATTTTTTATTTAGCCAGGAAAATATTGCTTAAGCCTCATGATTTTGCTCATAAATGGAACAGGACATCTATTAGCGACATCTCGAGACTTAGGCAATATTTTTCTGGCTAAAATTTAGTTGGCTTTAAAAATGGGCTCATATCGTGCTTTTTAACAATAATACTGTTTTGTAGTTTTTTAATTTACCAGTAGGGAAGATTCAAGTAATAAGGTACTTTACATCCGTACAAAAGTATGTGATGAGCCACCTCCATTGAGCTATGAACCTTAAAATCCACTATATAATAATTTTATATTATTTAAATTTGCAAAAAAAAAAGAAATATATTTTTGAGATTATGAGTGTGAAATTTGAAAAAAAAATCTCAATTTTATGTCATTAAATTTATATTTTACACAGATATAATTATAGAAGGAAAAATAATGCACCAAACTTTATCCATCGAACTAACCAGAACGAATATATACTAAAATATTTTTAAAATTCATTTTAACGAGTCCCTTTTTTTAAAGAATAAGACAAGATACGCAAATATTATGAGGATTAGAAATGATCATATTTGCATTCTCAACAATATCTTTAAACAATAACCCAAATTATCAACTGTTAAATTCTAGGTTTAATTTTAATATAGTTAGTAATGATGGATGAATCTTTATATAGTGGATTCGGTTCTTACAAAAGCTTCTTTTTTCAAAAAGTTATATGCGAAATTAATGTTGTTAAACGGCTCGATTTTATCCGATTTTTTAAAAAGGCTGATTCAAAATTTTAGATAGAAAAATAATAGTCTGAATTCGTTAATAGATGCTCAAACCTTTGTGCCATCTATGAACAAAATCTTAAGGCTTGCAAAATAGTTTTCTGGATAAAATATTGAGTTCGCATTTTTTAAAAATCGGCTCAACATGAGCCGTTTAACACTATGGAAATATATAGCAAAAATATTTTTGATCAAAGAAAAAAGAGGCTTTAGGTTATTCATAACAAATCCGACAAACAATAATTCATATTAAGAAATTTGTATATAAAGTTTAAAAAAAAATTACCTAAATATCTTCTTTCAGCGTTGATTGCCTCACTGGTACAAAAATAGGCATCGTTCTGATAATAAAAGAGTTAGCATTTATTAATTTACATAAAATAAATTATCATTGCAAATTAGAGCATCAAACGTTTCCTGCTTTTAAACTTTTTTTCTAAATTTATCGTTCCCCTCCCTTGATAACCATTATAAGCGGGTTGCATATTAAATTCGCATAATAATTTCTACAATTATTTTAGAATCCGGAAAGGAAAATGTTTAAGAAGGTGGTGGTTATATATATAACTCTTCATATTTAAAAAAAATTAACCAATAAATTCAACCAAAAATATTAACTGTGGATATAAATATACTATTGATTACCTGCGGGGTTTTTTTTTTAAATCTTAAGCAAGCATTCTTATTTTCGATCAAATCAAATAATTTATTCGTAAATTTATTGGTGATATTTTTTTTGGCAAAAGAGGATTATAATAAAAATTCAGATTATATTAATAGACAATTTTTTATATAAATTAAAATTTGGGGTATAACTGTGTCAAAATCAAAAAGCCAATATTAATTAAATTAATTTGATTTTGTCATATTCAAAATATTTATTTATTTTGTGAATTTAAGAAATCATAAGGCGTTCTTGCAATTATGATTACAATCTTAATTTAAAATTTAAATAAATATAGAGGGTTGTAAAATACGGGCAAAAAAATAAACAATAAAACAAAGTTTTTTAAATATAAAAAACGGGAAGGAGAGTCAAAATTATTAATGAAGTTTGGAAATGCTCAAAAATTAAATTTATAAAATTCATTTTTAATCATTGCTGGATTATTACTCAATGCAAAAAGGACTTCTTTATGTCCCACGAATCTTGATAAAATATTATTTATTCATGACAATTATAATTGTGCTAAATCTGAATTCTATTTATTATATTTCATACTTTATATTTTGTTGCATTCCAAATTTATATTTACGTCATAATAAGCGCAATCGCCCTTTATCGCTATATGAAACAGCAGAGCTACGCTTGAACTATCTCATCCCATCTAATTGGGTTAAGAAATTTGGGGGTAGCCTATGAGATGAGTTCATCCACAAATTTGGGCAGGCTGCAGTTACCTGTGCGCGCAAGAGGCAAAACCACTTGCTTAAACCTTACGGGAAACAAGAAGAGAGAGAAAAGCCCGTACCCTATCAAGTAAAATGTATATCATAGGGAGGGGTATTGGGTGATTTTAAGTTTATGATTTGTATAGAATTTGTTTATTTATTATAAATATTTATTTACTTATTGTGTTAAAAAAACTGCATTATTTACTTAAAAATATTAGCTTAGAATGATGATAGCATAAGTTAAGTATGTTTTGGATAGTTATACAAGGTTTAGGTAAATGAGGATTTATTAGCCATATTCACAAAAATATGGCATTCAGACAAAACCCCAGATGATTGGAATAAATCAACAATCTGCAGCTTTCCACAAAAACCCCACCCTTCATCGTTCGAAGATTACAGAGCCATTGCTCTCACTTATACAGTTTCAAAGGTGTTCCTGGTTCTCCAATGAAAAGATATATACTCTTTAACACTTACATAACACTTACACTTTTCACTCCATACTCTTCATTATAAACAAAGCCATTCAGGCAATTAATCCTTATAATTGCCTTATTCACTTATGTCTGTTTTGGGGTTTTTCGGGGAAGTTGCCGATTGTTGATTTATTCCAATCATAGGGGGTTTTTCATATGCTCGTTAATCCCGTCAGAGCCTGGAGCTCTATTGTTTTTTAGCTTGTTTATGGCTTTGTTGATTTCTATGAGGGAGAAATCGGAGTGGGGTAATGGCAAGCCTGGCTGTTGGAAGCCCGCTATCTTAGAAGGAATCGTGGATTCAAAAACTGACATATAGAAGTCTGTCCAGATAGCCATTTGCTCTTCAGGGTCTATGTATTTGTTTCCTCCATGTAGAGTAAGTATAATACCATTATAACAACTCTTGGGCCAGGTTACAGCTAGGCCAAACTTTTTCACTTACTTCAAGATTAGAAGAGGCGTGAAACAAGGCTGGGTACTATCACCTATTCTTTCAATATAATCATAAACAAAATCATAAAAGAAACCACGAGCACTATGAACCTAGTTGATCTATCATCAAACAATAATAATATCAATCACCTAAGAATTATCTTGTACGCAGATGACCTGGTTTTAATTACCAAGTCAAGAGATGAGACAATACTTATTGATAAGATTAAATTTTTTGTTTCTACTGAGAGCCATTCTCTTTTTGGTATTTGGCTATGATTTAAGTTATTATAGGCGTGGGAAATTGCATTTTTGAAATCCGACCAGCATCCCTCTAGCGATTTGGTAGGGAAGGGCCGGATTATTCTAGCTATGTTTGAGCAGATTGTATCATTGTAGGCTGTTTTCAAAACTGAAGCATTTATGTTGGTAAAGTGCCATTTGGGAGTTTGTTCTGGAGCTGCGCGTGTTGTACTATAGATGCGCCTGGTGTTATTGTTTCTCCACTCCTCACTTTGTATCTTTATATGCGCTTTAATTAACCTGTGATCTGATATATTTATATTTAGGATGGCCTTTACATCTGCAAACCAGCTGTGGATATTAGATAGAAAGAAGTCAATTTGGGAGGAGTGTCCACCTCTTGAGAGGGTCATGAGGTGGATAGGTTTATGTTTAAAAAAAGTATTTTCGATTTTTAAATTGTTGTCTAAACATATTTGGAGAAGTTTTTTCCCATCCTTGTCATTACTGTTGTAAACTGTTGTGTTACCTATAGTTTTACTAATTTTGTACATTATAATGACCTATTTTAGTGTTAAAATCTCCCATCGCTATAATGTTGTATCTTTTAGGCAAGGAGCTTATCACACTTTCCAGATGTTCCAAGAATATCATTCTTTCTGTAAGTTTTGGAAGGATGTAAACATTGAGGAGAATTGTGGGTTTGTAAGCGGTATTCAGGTATAGAACTGCAATTCTTTCAGTCATGGGGACAAATTTTATAATGTATTTTTGGAGTTTATTTTTGATATGAAAAGCCACACCTGACCATTTGTTGTCCGTAGTTCAAGAGCTGTAGTATATGAAATTTGTAAATTGGGCCGAATGATTGTCGGGGGAGTGGGTATCCTGTAATCCAATTATGTCAGTGAAGGATAGAAGTGTCATAAGAATTGACATTTTGTCTTTGATGCCACTTATATTTAGGGTAGCTAATAAAAGATTTCAAGCAACTAATCCTTATAATTGCCTTATTCATTTATATCTGTTTGTTTTCTAAAGTTTAAATATTTTATCAAATGACTCCAACATAATTGGATTACAGGAAACTCACTCCCCCGACAACCATTCGGCCCAATTTACAAATTTCATATACTACAGCTCTGGAACCACGGACAACAAATGGTCAGGTGTGGCCTTTCTTATCAAAAATAAACTCCAAAAATACATCATAAAATTTGTCCCCATGACTGAAAAAATTGCAGTTCTATACCTGAATACCGCCTACAAACCCACAATTCTCCTTAATGTTTACGTCCCTCCAAAACTTACAGAAAGAATGATATTCTTGGAACATCTGGAAAGTGTGATAAGCTCCTTGCCTAAAAGATACAACATTATAGCGATGGGAGATTTTAACACTAAAATAGGTCATGATATAATATACAAAGTTAGTAAAACTATAGATAACACAACAGTTTACAACAGTAATGACAAGGATGGGAAAAAACTTCTCCAAATATGTTTAGACAACAATTTAAAAATCGAAAATACTTTTTTTAAACATAAACCTCTCCACCTCATGAGCCTCTCAGGAGGTGGACGCTCCTCCCAAATTGAGGATGGGAAAAAACTTCTTCAAATATGTTTAGACAACAATTTAAAAATCGAAAATACTTTTATTAAACATAAACCTCTCCACCTCATGACCCTCTCGAGAGGTGGACACTCCTCCCAAATTGACTTCTTTCTCAGCTGGTTTGCAGATGTAAAGGCCATCCTAAATATATCAGATCACAGGTTAAATAAAGCGCATATAAAGATACAAAGTGAGGAGTGGAGAAACAATAACACCAGGCGCATCTATAGTACAACACGCGCAGCTCCAGAACAAACTCCCAAATGGCACTTTACCAACATAAATGCTTCCGTTTTGAAAACAGCCTACAATGATACAATCTGCTCAAACATAGCTAGAATAATCCGGCCCTTCCCTACCAAATCGCTAGAGGGATGCTGGTCGGATTTCAAAAATGCAATTTCCCACGCCTATAATAACTTAAATCATAGCCAAATACCAAAAAGAGAGGCTCTCAGTAGAAACAAAAAATTTAATCTTATCAATAAGTATTGTCTCATCTCTTGACTTGGTAATTAAAACCAGGTCATCTGCGTACGAGATAATTCTTAGGTGATTGATATTATTATTGTTTGATGATAGATCAACTAGGTTCATAGTGCTCGTGGTTTCTTTTATGATTTTGTTTATGATTATATTGAAAAGAATAGGTGATAGTATGCAGCCTTGTTTCACGCCTCTTCTAATCTTGAAGTAAGGTGAGAAAGTTTGGCATAGCTGTAACTGGCCTAAGAGTTGTTATAATGGTATTATACTTACTCTACATGGAGGAAACAAATACATAGACCCTGAAGAGCAAATGGCTATCTGGACAGACTTCTATGTCAGCTTTTGAATCCAGGATTCCTTCTAAGATAGCGGGCTTCCAACAGCCAGGCTTGCCATTACCCCACTCCGATTTCTCCCTCATAGAAATCAACAAAGCCATAAACAAGCTAAAAAACAATAGAGCTCCAGGCTCTGACGGGATTAGAAACGAGCATATGAAAAAACCCCCGATGATTGGAATAAATCAACAATCGGCAACTTCCCCGAAAAACCCCAAAACAAATATAAGTGAATAAGGCAATTATAAAGATTAATTGCCTGAAAGGTTTTGTTTATAATGAAGAGTATGGAGTGAAAAGTGTAAGTGTTATGTAAGTGTTAAAGAGTATATATCTTTTCTTTGGAGAATCATGAACACCTTTGAAACTGTATAAGTGAGAGCAATGGTTCTGTAATCTCCGAACGATGAAGGGTGGGGTTTTTGGGGGAAGTTGCAGATTGTTGATTTATTCCAATCATCGGGGGTTTTGCCTGAATGCCATATTTTTGTGAATATGGCTAATAAATCCTCATTTACCTAAACCTTGATATAACTATCCAAAACATACTTAACTTATGCTATCATCCCTCTAAGCTAATATTTTTAAGTAAATAAGGCAGTTTTTTTTAACACAATAAATCAATATTTATAATAAATCAATATTTATAATAAATAAACAAATCTATATAGATCATAAACCTAAAATCAACCAATACCCCTCCCTATAATATACATTTTCGGGTATGGGCTTTTCTCTCTCTTCTTGTTTCCCGTAGGCGATTAAGCAAGTGGAATTTGTTATAATAAAAATCAATAAAATATTACTAATATGTATTGTTTATGTGACTCTGATCTTAGTAAAAATGCAATTCCTTAGTGACTTCTGAGAATGAGAAGATACATAGAGTGAGACAGGAAATAATTTAAGAAATGTATTAAATTATATTAACAATTGGTTAGAAAAGAGCCCCCAAATAAATTATAAATAAATGTAATACATTGATTTTTAAATTAAATTCATTAAAAAAATATCTTTTCAATAAATATCGCGCCACCGAACGCCAATGAAAAAATTAAAAAATACCGCCGCCGTCGATTGAGGCATTGGCGCATAGGTCTAGTTGGATCATACGTTAAAAGGAGTGTTAAAATATTGAAAACCACCTATTTTGGATCATGATCTTCCCAATTTAGTAACAGTTGATTGTATGAAAAAGGCAAGTAGGTCAATTTACTAGCCAAATTCAATCAATTGACTGAAAGAGTATGACCTGGTCAAATACTCCAAAATATAATAGGTGAATAATTGACATAATTCACTAATGTGTATTTAAAGCATGCTTATATATCTAATTAGATGACAATATTTAAAAATACATGTATCATCACGAAGGCATCAATTTAATTATAATAAAATAATTAACTTCATATTAAAGAATTATATTTTAAATTCTAAGGAATTCTTAGAAATTCTAAATATTCATAAATACTCTCAAATGAAGTCAGTTTCGGTGGTCTCTCTTTTTTACCCCCACACTCAAAAGCATTCAATTTCTCAGAGATCGATATCTTCAAAACCAAAGAGATTAAAGACAGACATATTAAACCTTGTCTTTCGTTGCATGGGATGCAAATACTTTTTATGGGATAATAGATGGGATAAATTTATCCCTTATATTTCATCAATAAATATTTAGATAGCTAAGAGGTCTGCAAATTGCAAAATTTTCATCTGGTCTGGCCCAGTGGGAATTTGTTTAATTTCTGGCCTAGTTAAATCTTTTGCCTGGTCTGGCCCAGTTTTAATTTTTTAGTTTTACTAAAATTGCCCAGCCTGGCCCAGTTTTTAATGTTTATTTTAAATACAAGACTTAAATCAAGATAAATGTTGCTGAACACCTTTAATATTATTTATAAAGGCGTTAATGTCATATTATATTTTGATTTTACATGTCCATTTAAATGTTTTTTATTTTGATGTGTCAATTTAACATATTACCGATTAATAGATTTGACCAAGTATATATATGAGATTATGAATACAAAATAGATTATTGAAATTTAAAGAAAATAAAAGATTAAATTATTCTTTCATATATCGACCAAATCTCAGTGCAAGACAACCCCTCTTGTATCAAAGATGAATAAGTCTGGCCTGGGAATTGCAGATCTCTGTAACTAATATATTTTACACAAATTGGAATAAAAATTCTGAAGTAAAAGATTGGGGTTCATTAATTATAAATGATATTAAAAATTATCAATATTGTTTAATTGATTTAAATATGTATTTATGACTGCCAATAGGAATGATTATTTTGCTTTTGAAATTTTCTGTTAGACATTTCTGTCTATACCTATATCTCACTTAATTTAAAGAAAGTAAATTCCAAAAAATATTAAAGCATATAATTGAAATAAAAAAATTTTTTTTTTACATTTTTTCAAGTTTGAGATACTTCTTAAAGTAAACAAAAACAATCTTGTTTTGTGATATAATTGCAATCACATTATAAATATTTGTTCCTTTATATCTTTTAAAACTCAAAAATATTTCTCATATGATGATGGTAATGCAGAATCATCATCAAAATCATCACTACTCTCTAATGTAATAAACAGGGATACGAACCCGGCAAACCTTTTGCCCGAGTTCACTTTGGGTTCGGTTTAAGGTTAAAAAATAGGTAGGTTTGGTTTGGGTTTGGTTCAGGAAAATATTTTTGAATCCGGGTTTGGTTCTGGGTTCAGCTCAGGTTTAAGAATTTTTGAATTGATAAAAAAAATATTCTATATTTAAATCATAATTAAAAAACTAGACATAAATTTGGTATAAAAAATAAATTTTTTATTTTATTTATAGGCAAAATATAGTTAAAAATACAAAGCAGAGTCATGTATAGATTTAAAAAATTTTATTTAGATGTATTTCTTTAAATTAACAATATCCAATATAATAATTTTTACTTTGACTTGTTCACTTTCATTTTCCTCAAATTAATAATCTTTGAGAAAAAGTTAAAAATTAAAAATAAATGGTAAATAAATTTAATTGTTTAAAATTTATTAACAATCCAATAGGAATCTTTGAGAATAAATTTAAAAAAATTTAAAAATGGAGTAAATGAATTAAGTTGTTTAAAATTTATTCACTTCACTTAAATGGAAATTTAAAAATATTATAAAATGTCATGTAAATTATTAATATTTGTATTTACATACAAATATCTTATATTAATTTAAACAATACACTAAACCCGGTTGAACCAGTTCAGGGTTTTGAAAATTTTTTAAACCGAGGTTCAGGTTCATTTTGGGTTCAAATTCCCAAAAACCTGGTTTTCTTCTCCAGGTTTGGGTTTGGTTAGAACTCCTGATAATAAAAGTAGGCATAAAAACCCATTTTATCAAAAAACATTTTTTTATTGCTATTACAACTCTTATAGATAATATAATATACAAATATTTTTGCTCAAATTTTTCAACATCACAATCATCTTAAATTTAATTGACCAATATTTTGTTGGAAATTTTTCATTTTCAAAATCATTATATCACACTCATTTTGTTATTGAGTCTATTTAAAAAAATTAACTTATATATTTTTTAGCCTTTGTTTCACAACATCAATAAATTCACAAACTTTCAAAACTTTAGTGAAAATAAATAAATTATCTTAAATATAAAAATATGTCCAAAATATGATTTTGGAAAATTTTATACTAGTTTTATTGATAAAGGATCCTCTTTGTATTGGGAATTTTTATTTCATTTAATTTCATGTTTTTGTTCGTTTCTCATACAATGCTAAATAAGAGCAAAATTAACATAGCCAACAGAATCCTTCTATAATCAAAACTTTTATTTAATCAGGTATGGGCTTTTTACCTATCCTCTTATTTCCCATGTGAATTTAAGTGGCTATGACTCTTGTTAGCCTAGGTAACTGTGGCCTACCCAAAAAACATGGCTGATCCTTCCTTTATTTATTCCCAGTAATTTTTTTTATTGCAGTTTATGGTTTTTTCTGAAAAAATCAAGCATTACTCTGTTGTATATATAACTCTGTTATAATGCATAGGTCTAGGTACTTAATATCATGTAAAAATTTATCATACAATTATTAAAATTTGCAAAAGTTTTGAAATTCAAATTATTTTTAAATGGTTTTCTGAAATTATTTAAATTTAACAACTGATTGATTCTATATTCACTTTCTTAAACTTAAATATAATAAGAATATACATTTATATATTTCAAAAAATATATAATTATCAAGATTTTGTTTATAAATGTAAGGTTAAATATATGTCTTACAGTAGGTGGCGCCACTCCCGGCATTGTAATGTTCATGTAAGAAAGATCATTTGCATGAGAATCTCCTAAAATTAACTGGACTATGTTGTAAAATAGAGTACCAATCATAAAATATTTATAATAATTTTTAACGTGAAGCATTTATGCGGATAAAAGATGATAATTAAAAGGCTAAGATTATATTAATAATAAAAAGGGCAATCAAGCCATAAGGAGTTGAGTCATATGTTTTATCATATTTGGTCTATTTACCGCTGCATTTATAGTACCGCGTTATCTCCAAGCGTCGTAATTCAGTTTTCAAAAAAGATAAAATTAGAGATAATTATTTTATATAACATATAAGAAAAATCATACACTATTCGGTATTATTTTTTTTTCTATTAAGAGTTTCTCGCCAAAATATTTTGAGATTTATGTTGAAATATTTTATTGACTCTCTACTACAAGTGTTTATATAAGCGGAAGGGGGGGGGGGTAGGAACAGTTTGTATCCAATTTTTTGAGGGTTGAAGAATGTCTGCGCTTAAAATGGATATAGGACATAAATATTGGAAGGTTATTTAGATGAAATAGACAAAATAATTGCTGTAAAAATTAATACTTTTATAATAGACCTATTATAATATAATAATATTGCTAATCATCGACCAAGTCTATATATTGCATACAATCATAGATATTAATTTTGCAAAGTTTTACTTTTATTTTTTTATACGCTAAGCTGTATTTTATTTCCCTTCAAATTTTAAATCTTTTCTATTGTAATGTCTATGTCAACTCGTTTTCCAAATGTGCACAGAGATATGGAGCACCCGAGTGGTTTGAAAGGAAATTTTATCGATGTCCTCGCTTAATATTAATGGTTTAATGAATAAATTAACATCGCGATACAGGAGACCCACTCAAAAGATAATAATATGGCTACCTTTAATAACTTTGAAATGTATAGTTCTGGCACCATTTCCAATAATTGGTGGGGGGTTGCTTTCTTTATCAGCAAAAGATTATGCAAATGGATAAATTTATGCCCATTTCTGCGAGATGCTGTTTACTATACGTGAATACCTGCTTCAGGCAAATAATCTTAGTTAATGTCTATGCCCCGCCTAGAAGAAACTAACGGCTCGCATTCCTTGATGACCTCGAAAACATTGTAAACTCTCTTCCTAGGAGTCGTAATTTGATAAACCTTGGGGATTTAAATACTAGTATCGGAAAAGATGATTCCTTTATTTAGAGATGGGGTAATTGGGAATGCAGCTCTCTCTCAATTAAACAGTGATGACAGTAGGAAGTTATTGGAGATGTGCAGGAGTCCTCAAGGTTGAAAATACTTTCTTTTCACACAGCGAATCGAACACCCTAACCTTCAGTAGAAATAATATCAAATCTCAGATCGATTTTATCATCTCGAACATTCATAGCTGGTTCATCGATGTAAAAGTAATGCCTAATATTAACATTTCTGATCATAACTTAATAAAAGCCAGTATTACTGTGAGAAATTTATGGGGAAACTCTCAGCGTCCTTCTCTTCATCCCCAGCCTAGATACCTGTCCTGGAAGAGGAATGCAACACACCTGCAACGTCCTGCAGTCAAACTACAGCTCGATCTAATCTTAAATGATAGGGAGGCAACTTTATTATCCTCATCGGAGTCTCAATCTGTCGAAGAATGTTGGGCGTCTTTCAAAAACAACTTGTTTGATGCCTGCAATCATCTCCCTAACATCAACATTTCTCCACCAAGACAGGAATGGCTATCCGATGACACCATATGATAGCTCAACTCAAGCTACAAGGAGAGCGCGATGGTCACTTATGGACCTCAATTCATAGACTCCTAAGGAAAGATAGAAGGATCTTTATTGCTAAAAAGACTTTTGAGATAGACAGGGATATGAGGGAGAATAGAACTTTCGACGCCTACAAGAAACTAAATTACTTTTGTAAAGCCAATGTGTTCAAGACACTTCCAACTATAAGAATGGATAATAACAAGTTAATTACTGACCCCGACGAACAGATGGCGTTATGGCTGGACCACTATATGGGAGTCTTTGATTCTAGGAGGCCTACCTTAATCCCATCCACTAGTCAAAGTGTTGGACAATTGGACGCAAAATTTTCATTGGCTGAAATTGTGGCCGCTATTAAGAAGCTTAGGAATAATAAATCTCCGGGTAGGGATAACATTACAGGAGAACATCTGAAAGCATCTCTCTTGGCGATCTCTCGGTACTTACTGCCTTTGTTTAACAAGATATGGTTGACTGGGATGATGCCAGTGGATTGGAATAAGACTATCTTTTGCAACTTCCCGAAAATTCCAAATCCATCTAAATTCAAGGATTATAGAGCCATCGCTCTCACGTCTATTGCATCAAAAGTTTTTATGGTTCTTTTAAAAAACCGCATTCTTTCCTCTACACCAAACCTTTTGTCTAAATACATTTGTGCTTACCGTCCAGGTAGAAATATAAACGAACCAATATTAGCTTTAAAGATTATAATGCAGAAATGTCAGAAGTAAAAATTACCTTTTTACTTTATTTTTATTGACTTTAAACGTGCTTTTTATAATGTTAACCATGATGCGCTTTGGAAGATTTTAACCGAATGTAGCATTGACTCTAATATTATAAGGATCCTTAAAACACATTATAGTAGTCTTTTTGCCTCCTTAAAAATCTATAATAAGGTTTCTCCATCTTTTAGGACAAAGAAAGGGGTAAAACAAGGATGTGTTCTTTCCCCGCTATTGTTTAATATACTTATGAATAAAATCATAGTAGATACGATGGCTACTGCGAATCTCTTAGAATTAAGTTCCAGTCAGTTTTTTTTCTTGGAAAATTGGGTGATATCTTATGCTGACGACATAGTTTTGATAACAAAAAGTTTGGAAGAAGCCCAAAATTTGATCTCTATATTAAACTCCTTTAGTCTTAAGGTTGGCTTGGATATTAACTTTGATAAAACAGTGATAATGCCCTCGTCTCAGGCGCCTCTTCTGAATAATCTGGTGGTTGGGGGAAAGTTGGTTAAGGTGGTGAAATCCTTTAAATATCTAGGTGTAACCATTGACAATAAAGGTAGTTGCAAAGAAGAACTAAAAATTCGTTTACAAAATGCTAGAGGGGCTTTTTATAAATTTTTTAAACTGTGGAAAGCTAGAGAGATATCCGTTTTCACAAGACTCCGTATTTTCAACTCAACCATCATCCCGATTCTCTTTTATGGCGGTGATACATGGGAGAACCAAGACCGAAACTAGGAAATTACAAAAGTTTGTAAATAAATGCCTTAGAATAATAATTGGAATTTTCTACCTTAATATTATCTCAAATGAAAACCTTTGGAAGAAGTCAAACCATACCCAAGTTCACGTGTCTTTAAAAAAAGAAACGTCTTACTTTCTTTGCCCATATTTTGAGGAACCATAGCAACAATAGGCTCGTTATTGATGCCATTAATTATATTCCTTTAATGGGAAAACATATTGCAAATATAAGACATTATGGTTCTCTTGAAGGACATAATGGATCTAAACTTAAATTTGAAGCAGTTCCTAAGGCTAAATAAAAACAAAAAATCTATAAAAAAATTCCTAAAAATTAAATCGAACTACCTAAACCTCTCATAATTTTTTTTCTGTATTTCAGGTCATTTATTTTCTTCATCTTCTCAATTTTACCTCTTGACTTTGTCTTTCACCTTTTCTCTGAATTACTTACTTCACTCACTTTAGCTTTTATTTATCTTATTGACTTAATGTACTAATTTAAATCAGTCCGTCCCATATTTTTAATTACATATACGTTGTACTTCTATACCTTCCCATTATATGAGTTAAGATATATTAATGACATTTTGAGGAATAGTTTGTGATTTGCGTTTCCTATGTGGGCAAAAATATTTTTTCTTTGGCTCTTTTTAACTTAGTTTTTGGGTATGTTTTGTATTTTTCCATAGTTTTTGTGTAATATTTCTGGGGTAGAGGGTATCCTCTTTTGTTTATGAGACATTCATTTGTTTATAGTCATCTGTTTCTTTTCTTTTCTTTTCTTTTATTTTATTTTATTTTATTTTTAATTTATTTTTATTTATTTATTCTTTCTCTTCCCTAGTTTCTTTGGTCTCTCTAACATGTCCGCCCCCACCATAGACTAATATAGGAATAGTGGATGTGTCCTTAGTCTAGGAATCACCGATTTCTCTCTTATCTTCCATACTTTTTGTATACATTTAAAAGTTTCCACTCGCCTTTGTATTCTAATTTCTCTTCTTCTTTGCAACTACTTCTATTATTAAGTATATTTCTTAAATACATTGTGACTACATTTATCCTGTTCTAACTATAAGTTTTTGAAATGATTACTTGTTTTTCTTGGGAAAAATAAGAATAAAAAACTGTTTTTTTTTTAATTATTGCTAGTTAACTAGATATAACGTCTTTAACCTTTTCAAAACATTACATCTTAATTGGAGTCTACATATAATACATTGGTCGTTGCCAGTGTTTCTTCTTGTTTTTTATTTTTATGATCTTTATTTATTTGGGAGCGGCAAGAGTTTAGCCTTGTTTTACTCCTTTTTACCTTGGAGGTAGGGGATTCTCTTCGTCATTTAATTTCGAAGTACCCAAACATATATTAGTGGTTTTCTGGATCTGGAAGATGTTGGGGTCTTCCCTTTTCTGACAACGAAGCTGCATGGTTAACATTATCAATAGCTCTGCTATAATTTATAAATGTAAAGCAGAATGGGGTTTGTACCTACTTTTTCTGCATGATTATTTTTCTAAATTAATTTTTGGCTCCAGTATTTTCTTTTCTTGGCCTGTATATACTTATGTACTTTTTGGGGGAAATTTTGGTGTAGGTGATATGCTTGTGGTTTTTTGAGTGAACCAAAAAAAAATTTTTTTTTTCCATGCTACAGGATGTGATGGTTATAGCTCAATAACCCTTTAATTTCGGTGGTCTTAGTTTTTTTGGGTAGTTACTTAGGTGGGATTTGATCCATCCCACTGCAGTAATTCCGCTCTCCCATATTTTATTAAATGAAGGCAAATAGGTAGCGATATTGTTATAGGTGCTATTTTTGGTTTTTCTGCTGTGATATTATCTAGCCCCGGAGCTTCGTTTTTTCTTAGTCTTTGACCACTTGTTATTTCATTTATGGAGAAACCAGTCAACAGGGGGATGGCGAGGTTTGTAAATATGTTTGTTGGTAGAGTCTTTCCGTGAGTGAT